CTAATCCGTGTTACGTGTTTTTCTTCTGTGGTCCCAACTTTGGCCCCACATCACTTTCTTAAACAGAATAATCTCCTCACATTGAAAATCTGATAACTGCGGCATCCTGGAATAACAAATGGTTACATAATTTATATGTTTGTTATTTTTTAGTCCATTTATATAATAAAATATATAGTTATTTTTTTAATATGTCAGTTAATTTTTTTTTCTTTTTCATATAGTAAATTCAAATTTTTCCTATTTTCTTGTGGGGTACCCTGCATAAAGGAACAAGCCAAGAATCAGTAAATATCAACTATGGATACACTGCCATAACTCTAAATACATACACAAAAATCTACACATTCAGTTAAATATAAAATGAAAAAAAATTCCTTGATGAGACGAAACAAAAGCGCTTGGATATACAGAATATTGGGACAATTTTCCACACTTTATGTCCAGAAATAAAATACTTTCACAAACACAAGAAAAATCAAAAAATAAAAAGCCTAACTTCAGTAAATTATGAGTCATTTTTAATGAAACCTGTATAAAAGAGAGATTGCTGCCCAATTCCACAATTATACTGAGTACCCCATTAATTTGGTACAGTTTATTTAATTGTTGGAATTTTTGTTACAGTTATTTGAAACAAAAGCAAAGGGTAGGAATTCCGTAGCTTAAAACAGAACAAAAACACAAATGTTAGATATGGTGTTAGATTTTTTTTATATGTCAGTCAGTTTTTTTTTCATCATCTAAATCTAAAATATCCTGTTTTTGGTGGGGGGACTCTGTATATAGAGAAACAAATGACAGAAAGTCTTCAACAGTAGCAGAAGCTGTAATAAATGTGTAAACTTCAATGAGTGCATTCAAAGTATGGCGAGCAGTAGCCGCACACATCAGCAGTCTGGTCAGGTTTATCTTCACACAGAATTGTCCCACGAGACAACAGCCTAGTGGATTAAAGCGTTAGTTCGTGAATTTGGCTTCATAGTAGTTGTGAGTTCAGTCCTTTGGACTTAGTGGAAATGGAGTAAAAAACAACTGAGCAATATTCAAATAAAAACTGGATATACTCAGACATTGACAATGGGACGAGAAAAATCGTATAAAAGTCGACATTCAGGTTTGTTGAATAGCCTCCGTTCAATTTAGATTTGGCTGTAACAGATTCACAGGTCAACATTATTCATCCTATTATCATAGTTGATGAAATCTCTTCAATTAGGAAATTTCTTCATGAGTGGAATGAAAGGCTGGACAGAATATTTGGAAAAATTTGGAGCAGTAAATAGTGGCTATGTTCAAAAAGAAAATTGTAACTTTAATACCAGTTTTCTTATTCTATCGGTTCTGAAGAATGGTTGATAAGATTTGAGACTTTACTTATCAATTGACCGCATTAATTTGGAACAGAATTAAAATTTAATTCATTTTGATCCCACTTTCATTTATTCTGTCTCGTTTTGTTTTATAGGACAGGAGATTTACTTAACAAACAAGCCTCATAATTTTCAAGAGAAATTATTTACTACTTTTTGAAACCATATTTATTATTCTTATTTATTAGTCTGGTCAAAAACTTATTTTATAGTATTGGAGACTTTACTCTTCATTATTTTCAAGATAGGTTATTTACTATATTTTATGCCAGTTTGTATATTCTCTCTATTCAAAATCTTAATTTATAGGATTAGGTACCTTACTTATCAATCGATCCCAATTAACTTTAAATAAAATTAAATTAACTATATTTTGATATCAGTTTCATTATCCTATCGGGTCTAAAACTTGTTTTATAGGATTGAAGATCTTATTCATCCATCCACCCTCATAATAAACTAAAACATTTTATTTTGAAAAGTTATTATCTGAATACTAAGCTATCAATCCGGTACCATTCCCTTTTTGATTAATAATACTTTTTTGCAATGTTATTTTTCAGGAATTCAAAATGTATAAGTGGCAAAAGACATTCCCGGCTTGAATACGCCATTTTAATCTTGTTATGACTTATAATTATTAGTTGTCTGCTTTAAAATGATTGTAGTTTTTTTTTGTTGTTTTTTTTTCACTTTCAGTTTTAGATTTCTTATCGTCATATGCCGGTAAATGGCACGCTGATGAATTTTCTTCTTTTTCTTCTGCTTTGTTTATGGTTTGTGTACCTTCAGGCCACTGGCGATCAAGATTTTCCGCAATATTCTTTCTCCTGTAGCTCTTAGCAATGTTTGTCTTTTTGCTATCTCTAATGATCGCAATTCTGACAGCCATTTACACAAGCTGGTTAGGTAGACTATGCACTGTTCAATCTGTCCACTGGATTTGAAAATTAGACCATTAAAACCAATGGAAAACTATTCAATAATAAACACTGAAGCAGCTTAATAGATTTGGCAAAACGTTGTCATTTCTAAAGGCATTTCCGGCGTGTCAGTTAAAGAAACATTTAAAATCGTTTTTTATCTCTCTCTCTCTCTCTCTCTCTTATATATATATATATATATATATATATATATATATATATATATATATATATATATATATATATAAGGAAAAAGGCTATAGTAGTTCCAAAAAGAGAAAAATGTATATATTAAACAGAAAATTTTCGAAAGCACACGAAAATGGGAATAGATCAAAGAACACACAGGGATCATTAAAAGATAAACATGCCGATAACTACTCCATCATTTCTCGAACCAATCTTAATTGTTTTATAACCCTTCACGCAGAACTCTTCACTGCCAGTTCAAGAAAGACGTTTGGATCACTAACACAAAAAAGAGAATGTCTAATATCGAGAATATTTAACATCGAAAAACATAAAGAAAAAATTAATTATTTTTAATAATATGTGGAAATTTCCACCCTTTGCCTGATGACGGTTGCGAGACACGTGTAGCAAAATTATGGAAAATAAAGCATATTTTTTTAAAAATCCACATTACAAGCATAAACGTTTGCGGTATCTCTCTTCTTTTTAATATATATATATATATATATATATATATATATGGTCAATTAAATATGCGGTGTACTTCAATTGATATTACAATGAATCATTCATGCAAAAAGTAAATTAGTAAAGTTAATGTTATAAAATTGTTTTGTTTTAAACAAAACATATTTCGATTCGCATTATATTTTTTGTCTCGGGTGCTACCTGAATTTTACCAAAAACAAAATAATTTCCATGCCTGAAGATGACTGAATTTACAGTCGAAAGTACTTGCGTATTTAAGAAAGACCTTATACAGCTTATAATTTTAAAAAAAAACAAAACAAGGATCATAACATTCATCGAGTGATTAGTAGGTTAATGCATCATTAAAATTTTGTTAGCGAAGAGATTTCGCCTTTGTTTATCATTAACTTTACTAATTTACTTTTTGTATGAATGATTCATTGTAATATATATTCAAACATACATTGTTACATGTAACAGATAGCGAATGTCTATTATGTTTGATCATGATCCGTTCTAAGCTTCGTATAGTTGTTTTAATTTCGGGAGAAAATAAAGACAAAACTGTCCAACATTTGGATAATTTTTTATTACGCTGTTCTTCGATCTAAGCTTTCGTTACATACGAATTATCCTTGCATAGCAAACTTCTATGTAAACCTAATAGGATATCATCTCTGATGATGAATATCGTTGTTGAAATGTCTATATAACCACTCTGACGTACTCTCTAGGTACGTTAAGCGTTGTTTTCCTCCGTCTCTCTTGCTTTTACTCTTTCCTGTGGGTATCAAATTTTCCAAGCCCTCTTTTCTCATCATTTACCCTAGAAATTTTAACTTTCTCTTTCTGGTGTTAAGTATAAGTGTGCTTTCTGTTTTCAATTTCCATAAAACTTCGTCATTGCCCACATCTTCAGTCTACGGTATTCTCAGTATCCTTCTGTAGAATCACGTTTCTGTTGCGTCAAGTTGTTTCTTTACCCGTGATGAGATTGCCCAGCATTCACTGGTATACAGGATGACATATGTTACGCAAGAGTTCAGTGCTCTTTTTTCGTCGCTAATGAAAGTTTCCTGTTTCTTAATACCTTGCTTAGCTTTTGGGAAGTAGTTTTCGGTATCTCAGTGTGCCTTCGCATTTTCCTGTCTCGCTATCGGTCCTCTGTTAAATCATTTTTTGTGCTTGTTTGATTTTACGATCTCCAGTTTGTAATTTGCATTTTGGGTTGTGCCATTTTCCGAAAACCGTGCATTCTGTCTTCATGCAGTTGGTTAGCGGCTAACAAGCCAGCCTTGTTGACTCTTATTTTTTTACACTTGTTCAATCTTCGTTGTCTCCGAATATTATAGCCTTATGCCAAATAAGATAATCTCAACCCGTTGCTACACGCTAACATTTCCAAAGAGGCATGGTAAATTTACATTTACAGCAAAACAGAACTGCAGGAAGCTGACCTTGAGTCCAGAGTGACTAATAATGGTTGGGAATAGCATCAAACAATCTCTCTCTCTCTCTCTCCCTCTCCCTCTCTCTCTCTCTCTCTCTCTCTCTCTCTCTCAAAAATAGGTTTGTAGGGGAGGAGGGAAGTAGAAAGAAAGAAAGAAAGAAAGAAAGAAAGAAAGAAAGAAAGATAGAAAGAAAGAAAGAAAGAAAGATAGAAAGAAAGAAAGAAACAAAGAAACAAAGAAAGCAATGTACAGAAACTGTCGACCAAACAAACAAATGAATTAATTAATGGTTATCTGTTCTGGGTCTGGAGAGAAAGACTGTGCGACAAACAGGTCATGGAGAGGATCTTATATGGACGACAATAATTATAAAAGTAAAAACAAGGCTCCTTTCAGAACGCATATTGATCTTAAATAATAAGGATAACAGTAATAACAAAAATAAGAATAGAAATATTCAGGAATAATGTCACGTATTCTACCGTCTGATCCATATTATACTGATGAGCACTCAATCAGGAAATAATAATAATGATGTTTTATCAAAACAGCTAGTAGCTTCTAGAAGTTGTGATAAATGCTACGTTTTTGCCCAAATATAAAAGCAGATTAACCACAATGCAGAAGCGGATGTCGAAAATAAATTTAAAAAAATCTTACTCTGGAATTTTACAATCCAGACTTCCCACGCCGTCCAACATAGAACACGGGATGTGATAATCAGAAAAAAAATAGAAAAGAGATTCCTCAGACATAAATAGACCGTACAAGCGGACCGAAATAAGAATAGAAAAAAAAAAGACAATTTTTTTAGACACCGATATTGAGAGAACTTAAAACAGTTACTTCGTTACTTATTCCAGTGCCTCATTTTAATTACAGTTATTGCCATGCGACAAAAAACCATGCATTCTTGAAGTTGATGCTTAGTCCTTTCTTCTCTCTTTCCTTCATTACCATCTGTTGATGCTTCTGTAGTTTCTTTTCTGTGTCTGCTATCAACACTAAATTTATTCTCATAATCCACACTCGCCATTAACGGCTTGCTGGACATTGAACACACGATCTTTCGAGTCGCTTCTATAAGAATAAAGAATGAATAGAATTTTATTCATTTTTCTTTCTTTTACCCTGTTGGTGCCAACAGCCGAGGGGTAAGGTTCACCAACATGTGGCCACATCTCGAAGGGAAACTTACAGACCAGTCTATAAACTTGAGCAATATCTACCTTTTTTGATCCAATATATAACTGACCGATGTTTACTGTGTTATTCTAGTTCAAATATATATATTTATATATATATATATATGTGTGTGTGTGTGTGTGTGTGTGTGTGTGTGTGTGTGTGTGTATGTGTGTGTGTGTGTGTATTTATATATTATATGTGCTGTACTTATTAGAAAGCGCTCAATATCAGAGATAGAGCTAACATATTTGGTTGGATTGATGTGAGTTTGTGACCCTGGTTTTCACGCTTTTGTGATCGTCCCAGTTTCACAAACTGACATCAATCCAACCAAAAAATATATATATATATATATATATATATATATATATATAACTTAATTAGAAAAAATAGACAACCTTAAGGGTCCATTGATTATATTTTATTTTCCCAGGTAGTCGTTTTTTTCCTGGTTCATCAGATCACATTTCCAAGGGTAAAAAATGGTTTTAAATTTACGTATTATTTTTATATACTTTTGACGGGTAGATTTAAGTTGATGTAAGGTGATTTAGGAGACAGGTGGGGGTGGAGTATGAAAGATATGATCGAAATCGAGAGCGGAGGGAGAGATAGGAATAATTTTAATAATTTTAGATCTATTTTTATTTTTAAGATACTTAATATATACTTATATATAGCTTTTTTTAATCTAGTGCAAAGTTTGTCAGTGTGTTTACTCTAATGTAAACTTGGTTGTTGTCTGCCTTTTGGACTCTAAAGCAAATTTTACACATACTAGCAGCATCGCTATCACTTGACTTAAAATATTTTTGCCCTCCTTTGCTTTTAAAGGAGTGCCCTTTGCCGTGCTGATGTTGCTACATGCCTTACTTCTTGCCTATCTCACACTGCGAATATTTTCTAAGCTCTATACTAAACATTAAATCTGTTACGAAAAAAGAACTAAACAAAATGAACACAAAACTATCAGCTTTAAAAAAGGACTCGTAACTGGAAAAACCGAATGAAAAAAGAATGTTAACAACAAATACTTTTTCATACCCAACCCAGTTCTGCGGAATCAGAATCAACGATGAAAGCAAACGAATGAGCCAATTGGAGTAAAGTGCCATGCAGATTTAAATTTTTCCCACTTGTGACGAATGCAGCTATCGATATTTTTTTTGCATGCTAGCATGCTAGTTAACATTCGTGTCAGTCATCTGTTGGCTCTCACGCTGGCCAATAGAATCTTCCTGCCTATTCGTGGCAGCCAGCTATTGGCTCTCACTCTGGCCAGTAGAAAATGGCCGCAAACTACATGAAAACTGCCGTAAAAACATGAAAAATCTATTATTTCCACTAGCGATGAGAGTTGGGAAATGGAAAGTCGGTCTTGGCCTTCCAGCTAATATGGAGCATGTGCATGTAAATTTTGGTGCAAATTCGTCGAAAATTGCGACCGAGCATTCGTTACACATACACACACATCCTGCCTTTTGTAGATAGATATCTGCCCTTTTTGACTCTAGTTTAAACCAGAACCATAGCCAGCATTTTAAATCTAATGTAAATCGAACTATGCCAGCTGTGTGTAACTCGAGTAAATACCAGACCTATGAAATTTTAACTCAACAGTACCGCGTTATGAACATCTGTGGCTTATGTTGCTTTTTTTCTTCATCATATCAAGACGCAAGGGGATATTGAGAGTGAAAGAGAATGAGAAGACATTAGTGAAGAGAAAAGACAACTTTCAGGAAGTCAAGACCATAACAAACAGCACTGTTTACATTAACTGGAATGCTCTCAGCGTTAGTTGGATCCAGTGACAGGACCCAAAGAGTGTGAGTTCAATACCCGGTTAAGGCAGTGGAGAACTTTCAGAGGGGAAATAACAGGAAATAACTAACATCCATTAGACATGGCACGTGGAACTAGAACAGTGTGCCCCAGTGAACGAATTAAAGGGTTCATTTCGACATTCCACCAACTGAAGTAGGCCGGTGCGTACAACGGCCGAAACGTTGTAATAAATATGGCGACAAAGATGAGGACAATAGTCCGAATAATGTAAATAATGTAAAAAAAATGTGTTTGAAGGAAGTTAAAATAAAAATACTTATTTTATAAACAACTCTTAAACCATTATGCGTCGGACAGACGCACCACACAAGCACGCAAGAACGCACGCAGGCAATCACAGTCTTTTAGTATTTAGATTTGATTAATTAAACATGGCGACAAAGATGAGGAAAATAGTCCGATTAATGTAAATAGTGTTGTTTAAGGTCTTGACTATAACAGATGGTGCATTTAGTATTGTGCAAAAAACGTCAGATTCGAGATCAGAATTCGAAATACAAAGATGGATTAATACAAGTTTGCTGAAGATACGAGAGAACCTGTTGACGCTCAATTTCCGTCAATAACCAATAGTAATGGGTTCGATCTTCACTGGTCACCCCACATACCCGTGGCCTGGTGACAAGCTAAATTTACTAAATATCAAGGTCGCCTCCTCACGTGGTAATGTTTAGTAATGTTATTGATCATTACTACACTGGGTGCATTACACTTGTGACCCTGTGCCAAACTTTACTAAACTTAGTAAAATAAGAGCTACCAAATAGGATCAAGTACAAGAATAGTATAATTAAAAGAATTAATCCTTTGCATCTCGGGTTCAAATATGTGTAATGCTGTTTAATTGCATATCAAGCTTCTGCCCAAAGCGTCAGATGTTCAGCTCATACCTTAAGGTCATCGCTCTTCCTAGAAGACAGGTCTTTTGAAAAAGTTTGCAATATCTGCTTCGGTTGATTTTAGGAAGTCCCTTATGTAACTCTTTGGAGAGCGTGCCAAATGCCCCGATAACAGTAGAGATCCCAGTCACCTCACGATCATCTTCAATTTGAAGGCCTGATATTTCCGGATCTGATATTTTATATTCCAATATTTTCGCCCTTATATTTTTCCACATTCACCCTGTACTTTTCAATAAGTTGGATATCAAACTTGGCACGCCATGTCTATAAATCTAGAAAGGTCTACTCTCCTTCTCAAAAGACCTATTGTCTGGTTAGGGTATTCCATTTCTTATCTGTTTAAATCTTTATGTTTCACTTACGTGCTAATACCCTTGGAAAAGGTGCGAATCCTCCTCTTCTCCCTCCAGCTATGTGCAAGACAGACTGGGTTCTATAGCCTTGGATTGCAACTGGTCTAGGAGAAGGACAACTTTGAAGTCAAAACCTGCGGAGGGATTTTTGGGGAACTTGTGGCACGTAGTGCACCAGGTCTCTGTATTCGGCCCTTCAAAAAGTGTGGATGGTTCTGCAGGAAACCTTCACCACTAGAATCAAATCTTATTTGCTGTTGTCGGGCTGTCGGTTTCCTGGGAACTGATCTGCTTGACCCTCATACGTCGAATTCGACGGGAGAATCGAATATATATATATATATATATATATATATATATATATATATATATAAAAGGCACACACACACACACACATATATATATATATATATATATATATATATATATATATATAAAAGAAATATACTATATGCTATATTTAGTGTGCTCAATATCATGCTAGAGAGAGAGAGAGAGAGCGTGTGTAAATATAAAGTGAACATTGAAGTCAGCGGCGACACTTGCTAGCGGCGTCAGCCTGTCGCCTCTAGTATATTTCTTTACATATTATATATATATATGTGTGTGTGTGTGTGTGTGTGTGTGTGTGTGTGCCTTATTGCTGTCAAGTTTTATTATTCTTTTCCAGTGTTGAATCATCAATTTTTGTTTAATGGGAGATAAGAATCAGTTACAATAAATGCCACATTAATACAAAACAATTTAAATCTTCTTGGTCGTGTTGGCCAATAGTACACACTTTTCCAATTTAGTCATGCCCTCTGCGATCAATAATCACCTTGAAGAGTTATTCCTCAAAAGAAACTGAAAAGAGAAACTTGCTTTGAGGCAAATATTGATAACGAACAGGGAGATTGACGTCGTTCGTGGCAAAAGGTTACATATTTCATATTTAGCGTGCGAATTTCGAAAGCCAACTGAT